AACAACAACAACAACAACAACGAACCCAACAACACCCCCCGGGGCAGTGCCACTGACTGTTGTGTCTTTAGGCCATTCCCAAAGGGGGGACACTTCTCGTTCAAGTACAGTAGAATTGTAAATGGGCTGACTCATGTCACGCTCATAATTGTGCCTGATCTACAACAGGGAACTGCTGCTTTTTCTTTCCTGATCCTTAATATTGTCATTTTCCTCTACTTCTTTTGTATTTTTGTCACTCTCTTGTGACCTGCTATTTCCGGGGTGCCTTGATAGTCGAAGCAGACCTTGTGCTGTTGAAGCTAGAGAGGTGAGCAGTCTAAGTCTGATTCCCTGTAAAGACTTCTCTGTTGACACCCACCACTTGGGGCTCATATGACCTTATGCAGTTGCGAGCGCCGTAAAACCCTCTACTAAAAACAAAAAAAAAACCCCAAAAAAACAAACAAACAAAAAACAAACAAACAAAAAAACAAACAACCCCCCCCCCCCAAACCCCCACCAACAACAAACTACAAGGGAAAAAAATACGATGTACTTGTTTAATTGTAAAACCCGGCGAGCGTGCTGTAGATTCCGTAGAGCATGATGTGCTATACACATTCAGGTATTATTACCAGTATCATTACCCTTCATATCATATGTCTAGACCCACATGAGACTAAGATACTAATTGCTAGAAAATGGATAAAGATGAGAAGGGGGAAAAAAAGGAAAAGAAAGGAGCAATGACTAGTGATAAATTCATAGGAGTGGGTTATCTGTGTATGTAATAAAAGTATTCCCATTCGTTAATTCTCAGTCTGTTACAGTGTTTGCCAACGTTATCCCCGCCTATAACACGGATCATCTATAACAGGGTTCGTCTATATAACAGTGTTTGTCTATATAACAGGTTTCGTCTATAACACGGTTCGTCTATAGCAGGGTTCGTCTATAACACGGTTCGTCTATAACAGGGTTCGTCAGGGTTCGTCTATAACAGGGTTCTTCTATAACTTCGTCTATAACAGGGTTCTTCTATAACTTCGTCTATAACAGGGTTCTTCTATAACGGGGTTCGTCTATAACAGGGTTCGTCTATAACAGAGTTCGTCTATAACAGGGGCATCACGTCGGTCGGTCCTGGCGGTCCTGTTATAACCAGGGACCACTGTAATAATGATGATGGATATAATAATAATAATGATAATTAATAATAATAATAAATATATATAATAATAATAATAATGATAATAATAATGCGAAGAAAAAAAAGAAGAAGAAGAAGAAGAAGAAGAAGAAGAAGAAGAAGAAGAAGAAGAAGAAAAGGAAGAAGAAGAAGAAAAAAAAGAATGATCATAATAATATTAATAACAGATAATATTCATGATTTATATTATTGATATCAGTAGTATACAGATAAGAAGAGCAAGCACATTAATGATAGTATCAGCAGTAGTAAATATAATCATATTAATAGTACATATTATTCATGGTAATAAAACTACCGATAATGTTAATAATGAAAATAATCATGATGATAGTATTAATGATGATTGAAGTTAATAGTGATTGTCGATGTGGTTATGGCGAAGATGATGTTATGTGCTGATTTGACCTTGACTTCCTTTGGTAGATCTTGAATAACCTCAGCATTTATTGTGGGAGGGGGGGGGGGGCGTTTTCCCCTTGTGCTATTTGCACCCAAAACTGAACGCACTCATTATGACTGTTGTCGTGCTTTCAGAGAGAGAGAGAGAGAGAGAGAGAGAGAGAGAGAGAGGGGGAGAGAGAGAGAGAGAGAGAGAGAGAGAGAGAGAGAGAGAGAGAGATGGAGGGAGGGTGAGAGAGAGGGAGAGAGAGAGGGAGAGAGAGAAAGAGAGAGAGAGGGGGGGAGAGAGAGAGAGAGAGAGAGAGAGAGAGAGAGAGAGAGAGAGAGAGAGAGAGAGAGAGAGAGAGAGAGAGAGAGAGCCTCCTCTCTTTTAATCAAGAGAAGAATGGGGGGGGGGGGGGGTTGGGGGA